AGTCAACACTGCTGGTCTGTTTGGCAAGGGGAGGTGCTGGAAAAATTATTGCCTCCGTGTATTGTTAAGCCTGTAGTAAAAATGTCCARTTCTCTCATTTCTACTACTAGGGCGCCAGGGAGCCATTCCCTTCCCTGTGGGATTTTCTAGTGGGATTTTAATTTCATGTATTTTAGAGGAATATCATCTACCACAGATAAGGTAATAGTTTCCTTCTGTTAAAGTGGACTGAAAAAAAAAAAAAAAAAAACAGAATTGGCAGAGCATTTTGATAGCAGACAGGAACGTAACATCTGCCATTAACTCATAAAAAATTGACATGCCTGAATATCCTATGTATAATATATATCCTATGTATAATTACCCAGGCCACATGTAATATTATGCCCTGAAAGTTTTTGCTTATTTTTTTGGTTAGAGCTTGCTTCAAGGGCAGGAAAGAAAGCCTTGGTATTTTGGCTTTGAATTATTGTTTGGGCCAAATTCTTTGCTCCGTGTAAGTGCAGGGAACCTGACTGGCAGCTGGCCACAGAGATATTGTATTTCCTCAAGAGCAGCGTGCTTAAAGGCAGCACAGGGTGCTGTTTCACATTGCAGGGGTATGGAAATTGCGGCGCTCAGGAATGTCCTTGGGTGGGCAGTGCCATCCTGCTGCAGTGCCCTTCCTGGGCCAGGTCCCAAGGGCTTCCTGGCTCCTGTGTGAGCTAAGYGCCCAGATCCCTAAAATAGGAGGAAATAAATTGCCTTGTTTATAGTTTTTCACCAGCGTACTAACTATGCACTTGCAGTAATTTATTTAAAATTAAATTAATTAGTTTTAAATCAAGATCTCTTAATGGAATTAAGTAATTTTGTTTCACAAGTGAGTTTGCCGAATGCAGCTCCAAACACGTCAAATGTGGAATGTCTAACATGAGGATTAGATTTTGAGGTATGTACATTTTGTTACTGTGGATCATTGTTTTGCACTGTGGTTTAGCATATAAAGAATTTTTTGAATCTAAATAATGCTCATTTTAGAGCCTGATGTACTACTGCTTGTTCAAAGGTACATTTTTAAGGRAATGTTTTCTGTTCACATATAAGTTTATGCTATGGAAAATAGTGGCCAGTGTGCCTTCATTTTCTCTGCAAGGAACAACTGCCCTCTGGAATTTGCCTCTCTGGTCGTAGAGAAATTGTTGGAGAGATCCTAATGAGGAGGTTTCTTTGTTCTCTGCTGCTGGCGATGAAAGCCCAGTTAGCTTGTGCTGGAACAGATACAACCCTAGAGCTTTCTTGTATTTATGAATAGTGCTCACTTTCCACCTGAACAGAGGAAATAACATCTCACCGTCACTCCAGCTAAGTCTGTATTTGTTGCATGATTTGTATCTGCTGCAGACAGGCATCTACCTTAAAWAAATAAATAAAAACAACAGAAAAAAAATAGTTTATTTTACATCAACTGTTGAATACCAATGGAAGGARAACATTTGGATGCCTTTGATAGTTTAAATCCAATCTTTGGTTTAAATATTATATCATTATTAAATCTTCAGCAAGCTGTTCACTGAGTAACATGCATGAAACTATCCCAATAATAATCTTATACACTCAACTTTGCCCTTACCATCAAATACTTAAAATGTTCTTTTTCATTGGGGAAAAAAAKATCCTCACCCTTTTGAAGTTTTAGGCTGACAATTACTTTTTTAAAAATTATTTATTTATTTATTTTTATTAGTGTATTGACTGTTAGAAGATACATTTGCTCAAATGAACTTACTTTCCAAAATGTAGCACTGTGGTACCAGGAATATTATGCTCAGCTACTGCCTCTGAAGTTTTTCTTTCTTTCCTCTCCAGGACAAAGCTACTGATTGCAATTCAGAAGGCTGAAAATTCTAAATGAACAAGCATACGGCGCTACTGTTTGTGCATGTGTGTGCACATATATATAAAATATAGAGAGATATAAATTGAACAACATGCCAAACAAGTGATTTGCTCTTTGGATTTTTTTACAGCATGATCATGCATACAGCAGAAAATACCTTTCTTAAGTACAGGAAGGTCTTCTCTGGTGGTGAAACTCAACGTGGGTGACGATTCTGGAATGGCCACCTCAATAATGCTAAGATTTAGCTGGAGTGACTCTATATGTTCTTACCTGAGCTTGCCTTCCAGGCTAGAATGCCTTCCAGGGGCATCATCTCGGAACAGTTTGGCCAGGCAGCTTAGCCACACGGGCAGCTGGCCCAACTCCATGCTCTGCAAGTATTGTATATATATATATATATGCTTTTTAAAATGCAGGGTCATGTTTAGCTCATTTTATGACTATCTACCTACCTAAAAGGTGTTAACCCTTGTAATCACAGTGTTGTGTTGTGCATGTAGCGTTGAGWGACAAAAAGAAAACATTTGATTAGGATTGTCAGCAATAAAAATATAATCTGCTGTTCTGTTGATCGGTTTTGTCCTTGTCACGCAGTCACAAGGACAGGGCATCTGTAGGCCACCTTTTAGGACTCGGCAGGCTATGCTTGGTCTTCGGGCTGCATGTTGAGCAATCCTCACTTAAAATCTACAAGGCAATTACCTGCAACATGCTCGAAGATGAGACCTTCCAATCTTGTAAGATTATTCGGTGGCTGCCGGTGGCACTCTCAAAACACAATCACATCATTACAGTCTCCTGAAAAAACAACATAACTGCATTTATCCTATTTGATCACTGACCCATGAGAATCCTCCTTGATGCTCTTCATCCCACTTCACAAAGAGGGACACCTCTGAAACGCAGCACTGCTTAGCTTGGGTAAATAGCTGTGAAAGGGGAGGTGTGTTAAAGCACAGCTGCAGTAAGTGGCCACCGAGAGGGACACATGCTGACCATTTGAGGAGAGAAAAGGTATCGATTTGCTGCTTTGCGTGCCTGGTGGCTTGGTGGAAAAGAGCAAGTGGTCAGAAATGTGGATGAGTATCTGGAGCTCTAGYGAGCTGTGGAGAGAGAGCCCTGCTTGGGCTTACTGGAGAAGCAGCTGTGTATAAAGCTTCTCAATCTGTTAGGCGTTGCACTTGGGCTTACATGATGTCTCTGCTTGCTTTGTGTACATGTGAGAAATAACTTTCTTGGTAGGAATACAAGAGCTTGCTGTCTTTGTAACAAGAGAAGTGGTTGCCCGCRTGGTATCTGTGTGTGTGTTTGTCTAAAGGTGTCAGTTATCATATAGGCATTGGCACTTTAGGACTCCATAGGATTTGTTTTGTGAAGATACTTTGTAGTATCCTCTTCTTGTCTCCATGTTTCTGGTTTATGTGATATTAGCACCCAAAAGGGCTGTCAAAAAGCTATTAGTCACTGTGGTAAATTGTTATTAAGCAGAACCTGTCCTTATCTGCTGCTGCTCTTACAAAATATGATTTCAAATCTATAGGTGAGAGAGTGGCTCCTCTCAAAAGTGCACTTGCAGTACAGTTCAAAGCAATTCTGCTATGGTTTATTTTTATTCTTGTCTCCATCCATATATTCCAACTATTTTTCCCTGCTCCGTGTTCCAGCATAGATTCTCACAGTGAAGCAATTCAGAGACCCAAAGTGCAAGAAAACTAACTCGGATTGACCTCCTTACCTCTATGTTGGCAAAAATTCTGAAGTAAATATTTTGCACTTAAATACTTCAATATTGTCTATTCCTTTTTTTGTCATCTATGTAGATTTTATAGTATGCAATTCACAAAAARTGCAGCACGGTACACAGCTTGCCTTTTGGTCTCAGACTTCTTATAAATATATCTTACAAAAACATCTTTTTTTCTGTTTAGTACAGCTTTAAAAGAAGGTTATTCGTTGTACGTCTTCAAAATGCATAGAACTAAGTCTAACTAAACTAATGTAAATGATAAGATTGGACTTTCCATTTGAATTCCTCTTTTTTGCRTATATCAATTAAGAAATTCTACAGTCAGCTTGATCCCGTTGCATAAATTCTGCATTATATAGTGCTATATAGTGTGTCGGATTCTGTGCTGCATCCATTCCATGCCAGTGTTCCGTGTGGCTCCTGGCGTTGCAGTGGTTGAGCTGAGGCCGTTCGCAAGTGAAGGGCCCGCTCTAGACAACACGTTCAGGTTGCCCATATGGTCGGTGGAATGAAGTAGATACCTCAAAAAGGCAGCTCAGTCCCGTGTCTCGTAGGCCCCTGTGTTCGCTGGGATCAAGTGCTCTCTGAAGGTGGCCTTCTACTTCTGCCAAGCGTAGYAGAACAGTTGGATCTGATGCCGAACAGTGGTCTGGATAGAGCTGGCTGAAGAGATTCTGAGGATTAATGTTCTGTTAGCTCAGAGTGGAGAAGAAGGAGCGGGAAGGGGGCTAGAGAACTACTACAAACCAAGTTTAGCATAGGTCTAAAGTAATGAAGTTGGGGAGGGCAGAAGGAAGGGCCAACATTACTTCATTTTTCTGTTCAGAAATGTGAGTAATTTTAACATGTTGTATAAAAACTTTCTGTTGATCTGATTGTTTTCAGATATATTCAGAAAAAGAGGAGTAAAGGGATTTTTTTTTTAGTTAGAATGTATTACTGACTAAATATTTGGGGTGTATAAATGAGCTTAGTGTACAGCATTATATGTGCAACTTTAGTTGTAATTTTGCAGTTGGTCACCTGAATACTGTTTTGCATAGACATGCTACTATGTCCAAAGAAAAGCTTTGCTTAAATCAGTATCTGCCTGATGACTAAAGACAAGCTAGACAAGCAGTGTTCTCAAATAAAAAGGTGAAGAGCACTGTCCAAGCTAGAATTTAGAGTTCATTCAACTAATTAAAACCAAATTGGGCTTTCAGAGTTTTTAAGTTATGTAAACTAAGTTTGTTCAGGATGAGTGTTTCACCCCTTGCCTCCTCCCACCTACAACTGTTTGCTACAGGCAAAGAAACAATTTAGTTGTGAGCAAATTCCCGTAGTGATCTATTTAAATCCTTTTTGTTGTTGTTGTTGTTCCCTATAAAGAAACGACCCAGATAGAAGATCCCAGGAAGCAATGGAGGCAAGAACAAGAGAGAATGTTAAAAGACTACCTTTCGGTAGCCCAGGATGCTCTCAGTACCCAGAAGGAACTGTATCAGGTGAAAGAACAGAGGCTGGCGCTTGCGCTGGATGAGTACGTGCGGCTGAATGATGCCTACAAAGAGAAATCAAGCTCCCGGACAAGCTGTAAGTACAGTGGAAAATACAGTGCAACTTCTTTGATCTGTTCYTTGCAGGGCATCCTGTTTCACTTTAGGATGAGTTTTCAAGGTTTGCTATGAACATCTTGTACTCTGACTTCTTTAGAAGAGAAAGCGTCCCTACATATTTATTTATTTATTTATTTAATACAGAGACATTCTGATAGAACTCTCATTTGCCTGATACAATTGAACTCCTTTGAGCTATGGTTTAGAGCAGTGGGCTTGTTAATCTGTTTTGTCATGCAGTTTGTCAGGGCRAAATTGCACTGAGTCTAGGTTCAGAGTGAGTAGGATCTCTTGAACAACATAGCTGCGTGCCAGAATGACCCTCCTGCATTGACAGGCAGCTGCAATAGGCAGACCAAGCAGGCAGCTTCTTTGCTGCTTCACCAGAACAGCGTACTGTAGTTTTGTGTGCAGTGGTCAGGGATGGAGCAGTTACACATGCAGTAATCCTGGTGAGGAATTAGCACACAGTAAGCTTCTCTCAGAGGCTTGGGACTCTCAGAGGTGTTGGGACTTTTGGCAGAGCATCTTTCTTAAAAGAGTTTAGCATGGCAGAAGCTGCATGCATATCTTGGGAAGAACTAAGCAGTGGACCTCTCAAGCCTCTGAATAATCCCACCTCTGCTCTCCAGAAGTCTCCGTAGAAATTAGACCTCAAGGAAGAGGTCCTTCCAAAATACCTCAGCTAGCAGAATGGCAACAGAAAACAAGGAGTTGAAAGTTGAGGAAAGTAAGGTGCTACCTTTAGGTTGTGTCATAGGCAAAGAGGGTGAGACTAAATAATAGTAGGAGAGAACAGAAGGAAATTGGATTATTACTTTCCTGACATGCTGCTGTATAATAAAGAAAAAAGTGCATAAAGTGCATAAAGTGTATTTAAAAAAAAGTGCAGTGTTTTTCTACACTTTTACATTTGTAGATTTTAGATCCATATGAATTCTTCAAAGAAGGGGACTAATTGAGTTTTTAAAAAATGTTTTTAAGTGTTCTCAGGCTCCTCATCAAGTACCAAGTATGACCCTGACATTCTGAAGGCTGAAATCTCCACTACCAGATTAAGGGTGAGAGTGCTTAATTTGGATTCATTTGAATTCTCCATGCAAAGTTTATGACTATAGAGTACAAAGCTTGAACTAGCAGGGGTATCTTTTTACTGATACTGAAGTGTCCTGATCTTCTCATTAAACATTAAAACTGTCTGTGTTCATTTTAGGTAATGCTTTTGGGTGAAGCTGAAAAATATTCTGATTAGATATGGGTTTAAGTAAATCTGATAACTATTTTTAATAGTTATTTATTTTTTTAAAAGAAGAGTAAAAATAATCAGATGAAGCAAGAAAAGTAGTAGGCCAGGATGAGCTGCAGAGAGATGACTTTAACATATTTTTTAATTTGTAATGTATCAACAATCCATTTTTTTGATCAGTTCTGTTCAGCAGGGTTACAAATACAGACTTCATGTTACAGGCATTGCTTTGGTTATCTCAATATGTAAAAGAATTATGGTTCACAGTTTAGTCTCTAGTGAATCAATTTTAAGTAGAGAGGAAATTATGTGGAAGACATTGAAAATCTATAGAGGGAGTTCATTTATTTAAGCTATTGCATATGATGCTCTGTGGATAGGCTGGGCTCTCCAAGCTCTCCTGGGCTTTGTTTTGATGACAAAATTTAAATCAGCCCATTCAGGCTAAAAAGGCAGCAGCACCTCCCAGCTTMGTGCTTGAGTGAGGGCTGAGGTGGGAATTTCTGTGTGAGCAGAGACACAGACCAAGAGACCAGAGTTACTCAGCTCTTCCATTGCCTCCTCCTGGGTTCTGCACAGAGCAGCACTCACAGAAGCCTCRGAGTGACCCTCTTCTCCACTTGCAGTAAGAGTTATGATTAGGAATATAAACAATTAAAGATTGAAAAGAATGTGGAATGGCTCACTTAATTTAAAACAGCTTAAATTAGTGATGAAATGCACTGTAAAACTGGTGTCCAGATGTTTGCCCTGTCTCCCCTTGCCAGTCTCAGTTTGTAGTCCCTTACTTTTTATGCATGAGGAATGTGGGTGGTGAGAAGGCTGTGAGGAGCTGGGAGGRAAGTCTTTGAGGTTGAGGAGGGAGAGCCTGAGGTCATAAGGAAGTCAGACTGGAGGGAACAAGAATGGGAGAGGAATGAGAAGCAAGGGAGAGGGCTTCCTTCTGAAAAGAGTGGAGCAGGAACAGGCGTTCCCCTTGGTAAGTGGATCACTGGTATACTTAGGAAATTAACAGTATTGTTGAAGTGGGAAAAAACACCCAACAAAATGCAGCTATAGTCACTTCAGAGTCAAAGAGGGGAAATTCAGGCGTGATCCTATGCTCATTTTTTTCTTATTACTTAGATTAGTGCAGGCAAAAATACGGGATCAGCTTCTGGCTATATATGTACAGGTTGTCCATTCACTGAGGAAAGGGAAGCAGTGTGTTAATCATACAAATTCTATTTTGGAGGTGTCTTCCTGTCTCTATTGCTTGTTGGAGTCAAGGTTCAGTCGGTCACTCTGCTGGTTCTTAACATCTGCTTTATTGGCATTGCAAAGTCCAAGTTACGAATGTGCCTAAAATAGGTGACCTGAATCTTGTCTGCAGAGTTTAGGAGGGTGCTGTCCAAGAATATCTGTCTCAGCATAAATTGTTGTGTCCTCCAAACCCACTGGATATGAAAATCATTGAGATAACAAAAAGGGAAGCCCTGCATTCCTAGGGCTGGAAGGTTTCCAAGGAGGATGGCAAGAGAGGTATGACTGATCATAGTTTGCCCTTGTCTGAACGTTTGAGGCTGCTTTGCTCGTGTGCAGCCGTTTGGCCTTGTGCTGCATATGCATGCGTGGATTTGCTGGGGAGCAGGGTTAGCCATTAGCAAGCTGCTGGGCGGGATGTGCACACTGCTTAGTGAACGATTAGCTCAGACCTACTAAACCTGTTTCACCCTGCCTGAGGCTTAATGGCCCGTCAGGTTGACGGTGGCTGGAGGGGGCGAGCCCGCATTYGAGGAAGTTCCGAATGGCCTTTGGCCTTCTCCGTGTTGCCTGTGCCCAGTGTCTGCKTGTGGAGCTCTTTGGATGTGTGAATTACTTGTTCCACACTGTATCAGGCAGAACRTAGGACACAAATATGACAACTTTATATGAAAACAAGCGAGGGAAAAAAGTCCTTTCTCAAGAAGATGATAATTGCAGGATGTGGTCCCACAGTAGACAATGAGTGGGGCTATTTGGGGTCAGAATTAGTCATCATAAAATAACTCAGACAACACAAAGCCTATTTGAACGTAATATGTATTACTCATATGCAATAACCAGGGGTTGAATCTCAGGTAAAAGTGAATTTCTTATTTTATACCATTAGTCCTGGAGTGCTGGCATTAGCACTTGAGTGCTGGGGGAGAAGGGTTTAGCCCAGAGGCCTAGTCAAAGATAAGATTTCAGYGCAGAGAAAAAGGTTAATGTAGAACAAGGAGGGAATTCAAAGCTTAGACGTGGAGAAAGGCTTCAAGACGCAGCCAGAAGAGGCCTGTCAGGCAAGAGACTCGGGAAGCAGAAGCACTAGGAAAGGGTTGAAGGATAAAACAAGCACAAAGATGTGAAAAAGAGGGAGTTTTGTAGAAGTCTCAAAGGAGAAGACAAGGAGCACAAGAATAGTTTAATATAAATATGGTACAGTAAGCACAGCCTCTGTTATGTTGGTCGCATTCTTGTAGGTTAACATAGGTAATTCACATGTCTTGATAATGACAGCAGAAGACACTCAGAAAAGGATTTCAAGGAAAACATAAGGGTTTCTGAGAGATCCAGTCTTCTGAGTTGAAATGAAGTGTGTCGCGTGCAGTTACTATAAATTCACGTTTCTGCTTTTAAAAGTGTAGCCATTCTGTGCTTCTAGGAAAAGCTGGGCCTTCATTTATATATATTTTAAACATTGCACAGAACCTGGAGATAATACTGCATCAGTTGACTGGAGGAGTTCAGACAGATTATTGGGATTTAGGGGGTATTAAAAATCTTTATTAGTTCTCTGACAGCCGGAATGTGTTATACTTCTCAGGTCAGGTATAGTTAATGAGAGCTTGAATGTTTAGTTAGGATTTGTGTATTYATTGTGCTAAATTTCCAGAATGATCAAAATAAAGGTGGAGCAGCTGATGACGCTAGTTTTCAATATCCTGAAACAAAGCTCCAATTTAGGTAATGAATTTTGCTTTGGAGAAAGGAGAGATTGAAAGTATTTTATTTCTGTCACAGAAAATTCATTAGGCCAAAGCTGCAAATTCAAAGGCCTAAATATCATTCTGAAACCCATATAGAGGAGCCGAGGTTAGTGCGTGTGTGGGGGTTGTCTGTTTTTTAAACACACAAAGGATTTGGAGTCTTTCTGCAKACTGTGTAAGAGCTGCTGGTGCTCAGGCCTTTTGGTTATCTGACATGTTGGGAATCTCACGTTATCTGGTTGAGAGAATAGGACTGAGTAGGAAATCCARGGGGAGCTGGATGCAGAAAGTCTGCAAGAAATTTGGAGATTAATTTCAGTCATTAAAGTGATGTGCTTATTTGCTGATATATTTATGTTAATATATTCCATCTTTTCATAAGAGTAAATATCTTAAGAAAAACATGTAAGCAAGCAGAGTATTAGAGCAGGAACTTAGAAGTGGGAGGTCAGAGCAGGGGACTTTTTAACGTTTCCTGTCTTTAACATTCCTGGAATTGGAATATTAAAATAACCAGGAAGATTTGACCAGTATGTTCATCTCAAGTAAGGCAGATGGAGGTATATAATAGCAAAATTTGGGATTCCCTTTGGGAACTATGATATAAAATTGAATGGAGGAATTATTTTCAAACATTGAATCATAAGTATTTTGTGTAGTATACTTATATTTTTTAGTATTTAAAAAGGGGAATTTTAAGATAAAAAAGAGCCTTCAAATTTAGGGAACTAGGGAGTAGCCCAAAGATCCTTCTATTAAATTAGTGCATATATTTGCAATCCAAGTGTGTTTTGTAATTGTCTTGTTTGAATTAATATGCATTATATAAGTAGGGGAAAAAAAGGAGTGCATACTTTGTATTTTCCAGTGTAAAGGACTGAGAGCTTCCTGGAATGAAAAAAATGAAAATATAATAGCTTTAAAAATAAACAGGAATGTCCCTGTAGGACAGTTGGAATGCATGCTTAACAAGTGAGAAGTAAATTACTTGTTAAAGTTCTCTCAGGTTTAATAACACAGTGTGGTATCAATACAAATAAGGAATGTGATTTAATCTGCCTGTGTCCCTTTAATACTAAAGCATGTTGCCCATAGACAGCAGGAAAAGAATAGATCCATTTGTTTTTAATATGTGTCAGTAGAGCAATTTACAGTCTTTCTTTCCTCATCTGATGTAGAGAATACATTAATTGTTCAAAGCCATGTGTTATGCCATTTAACAAGAGGGATTTTCTAAGTCTTGCTTTGATTTAACACACAAGGTTAAGAAGCTGAAGAGGGAACTCTCTCAGATGAAGCAAGAGCTGCTGTACAAAGAACAGGGCTTTGAAACACTGCAACAGTGAGTATGAGAAAAGAGTTGAAATCGACTTAATTCACTCTTCTCATTTCTGCGTTGTCATAGAATTGAATACATCTCATGCGAGATAATTATTGGGGAAAAATGAGAGTCTAATCACTCTTTTGGCATTAGGAAACAGGAAATCTCTAGAAATAGTAAACCCATTATGCAAGTGAAAATATGGGATCAATCTGTTCCCTTTTTTTTTTCCTTTTTTCCTTTTTTTTGTTTTTTTTTTTTTTATTGCTTCCTGTATTGTAGTGCAGCCACACATTTACGCAGCGCTGAGGTGTATGCGTGTGGTAGGCTCCATGCAGTGGCAGAAGCAAGGTTGCAGCATTGCAGTCTAGCACTGTCTGGGTGCATTTACCCTTACCTCTGAGGCTCCTCTCTTTGCTTGCATACTGCCAACGTGAGCCATCTCGCTCCTGGAGAGCTTGCAGCCTGCAGAGGGAAGGCAGACAAAAGCGGGGAGAAGGGAAGGATATTTGTCTCTTGCAAATGCAAGGGAGGTGATTTGCTGAGGAGGATGGAGAGAGTCTGTGTTTGGAGCTGAAAGACTGGGGTTTAGTTCCCATCTTGATCCAAGGAGATTTTTAGGCTATTTCCTCTGTATTTTGAAATATCACTTCTACACAATGTGATGCCTCTGAAATGAGGAGAAAATCTGGTCTGGAAAATGGCTAGAAAAGATAGCGAATGCAAATGTTGCTCCTTGAGTTCTGCTGTTACTGGATATGTTGAGAACGACCAAATGATTTTTCTGGTATGCAGACTTTGGAGTCACTTRGAAACTGAAAACTCCCAGCACCTTAGGTGTCAGTCAGATTCCTATGACAGAAATGTAGGGTTTGTTTCCTCTTCAAATATATAAAAACAAGTGAGAAAAARGGGAAAAAAGAATAATTGCTTGCTTTTATTTAGACATAAACAGATTTCATTCAAAGCAAGGTTTAGAAAAGAGGAAAGAAGACATTTTGGTTCGAGAGCTTTTAAAGTAGTAAAAACTCATGCTGCTATACCGGGATTAAAGGTTAGCCAACCATGCTGGCTTTATTATATTAATTCAACAATGAAGTATTGTTTTAAAGCAGCTTGCTCACAAGCCATTTTGATAGGAATCCAAAGCATGTTTCAGAAACTGTCAACAGCATTCCACGGGAATACAATGGACGTTTGTTGTAAAAACCCACTCAGCCACTTCTGAGCAGCACTAATCCCATTAATTTAAAACAGGAAGGTGGGATATCTCATATGTCAGATATCCTTCGTGTCTCTCTCAATTATATACAGAATAAAACCATTGCAATTTGAATGTGGCAYATTGTATTAGTAAGCAGCACGTGGTGCATTACCCAGCTGTTCATCATGACCCCAACTGTTGGCACAGCCACTATCTATTTGGCCTTACAAACCTGATAACTTACCAAATATTGAGTGTTGTTGGGCAATAAGTAATTGCCTACCTCTGGTAGGGTTTGAGGAACTTTTCAAGTTAACAAAAAAYGTCATGAATAGGAGTCTGAGTGCTGAGTTACAGGTAATTTTCTTGTGGAAATGCAGGTTGCTTTTGCACAGAAACTGAAATGTGGAAGAGGGGAAAAAGATGGAGACCTTTTAAAGATTACCTTGGAACGTTACTATCTTCTATGTAGAATTGGAAGGAAAATGTAATACCTCGTTACAAATATTTTGTCTAAGTTTGGGCTTGTAGTCAGTGCTCAAGATCACTTCTGATCATGGAAGTGTTTTTCATACCTCACTTACAAGGTTAATGTCTTCTGGTGAAGATGATGGATGATAAAAGCAAAGATACAATTGTATTAGAATATATTCTGGCTGAGGTGACAGAATATATTGTGGACTTTGGTGAGATGCCTGTTGCTTTTAATTTTGTAAAGCGCAGCTGCAATCACTTGTATGATGCTATGAACTATTCAGTTAAATTAGAGGTGARAGAAATGTGTTTACAAGCCGGACTTGCTGAAGAAAATATGTAAAGATGGAAGTATCTTTTTGGCTTTTTGTTTGTTTTAACCTTTGGCGTCCCAGGAATTCAGTAAATTTTCCAGCATATGAGATATGTGTTAATTGTCCAGAGAGTCGGTGAGCAAGAGGGAGCCTGCTGCCCATGCAAGCAAACAACTGTTCTGGACTGTTAATGCTTAGGATTAGGGTTAACAAGAGGTCACATTTCTTCTCTGAGAGATTGATTAGTACCAAAAAGCCAATGCCACATTGTGTATCTGGGTAGGGAAATAGTATTAATAATAAATTCCACTTCTGTAGGGTTCATTAACGGTTAACAGTGTGAAAGATGTACCCTAAAGCTGCTCCTACATTGCAGAAAGTTAAGGCACAGAGAGTAGAGCTGCTGGGTTCTGGTAGGCCCAGTAGGACTCTGGCCTTAGGTACTGCTCTCTGTTCCGAGTGTCCTCATGACAGGATCAGCTAAACCTGCTTGTRGAGTCAGGCCTTGGTAAGGTCCTTAGCAGTTCTCATGCCAGCAAGATTGTTTTCTACAAATCCCCATCCACTGTGCACTGTGTGCCACCAACAGCTTGACGTTTTTGACGAGAATTAGGTGGTAAAAACTCTAATGGAGACGTCTGTCCATTTTCTTTTTCAGGACCATTAAAGCAAGTAGTATCTCTTAACTCCTTCCACATGTTCTGTAACTTTTTTTGCTTGAAATGCAGCACAGGTGTTAATTCTATTTTTTTTCTATCTGTATTTGTTTTGTTCCACAGAATTGACCAAAAAATGTCTGGAGGCCAGAGTGGCTATGAACTCTGTGAGGCCAAAGCCATCCTAAGTGAATTGAAGTCTATCAGAAAAGCCATAAGTTCAGGAGAGAAAGAAAAACAAGATCTAATGAAGGTATTTTGTGTGGGTGATGTAAGTTTTTTGTGTGGATTCGTTTTATTGTAAGAAACTTTATTTATGCTAAATACTTTGCATTTTATATATTTATTTAGGTGAATCTCAAAGCTTTTCATGAGCTAAATCAGTATTAAAATTTTTAGATGGAGAGAGTGAAGCCGGTGGCTTTCCTAACGCACAAAGTTACTCAGTGACAGTCAGTTTGAGAGCACAGATCTCTAAATGTAAAGAGATTTTAAGAGTGGTTTTTTTTTTTTTTTTTTTTAAACTACAACATGTATGTTATTTTTATATCATCACAGGTACTCATAGTACTTAGTGTCACCTGCCAACTATGTGGTAGAAAGGAGAGTTTGCTTTAATGTAAACTGAAAGCAGAATTATGTTGGAGACTTTTGTGTAAACATTTCTGAGCGAAACTGTTTGGCATGTGTCGCTGCTGTGAAGTGCRAAGCAGATACAACATCGTCACACTTTGTTTCCTGGACAGAGTCTGGCCAAGCTGAGAGAGAAATTCAATCTTGACCGGACCATGGGGAGATCAGAACCGGACTTGAGCTCGAGTTCTGTAAGCTCTCAGCTGTCTTTTTCTCGACCAACTCTGGACGCAGGGTCTCAGACGGACGTTTCTGGGGAGGTGAGCTTTCTGCTCTTGTCAGATGCAAAGAGCAGTTGAATCACAGTGCTGCACTTAATGGGGTTTGAATCCAGTGCTTATTTACTATTGCAGATACCTCTGTGTGTGTATAAACATATACACGTATACAAAGGCATGTTGAGTTGAAAATCACCCGGTATCAGTTACCTGATTTTGCCCATAAATTTTAAATCAACATTCARGGGATGTTTTTATGTATGGCCTGAAACATTGGTGAGAATTTGATCTAATCAAACAATTCCACTGCAATAAAGATCAGTTTTTAAGTATTAATTAATTAAGATCAGCTTTTGGTTCTGTTTCTAGGGTCCAGGTGCACCTTCYGAGCTTAATCCAAATGAAGATGTGCTTAACTTTCAGAAGAGAGATCTCACAATTGAGCTGTTTGACTTCATTTCAAGCAGCTAAAAACAGTTGCTGCAACAACCTGATGCACTGATCAGGTTAAAACTGCCATTAAGTTAAGAAGGGGAACTTCTGTGTTCCCCTGATGCATATCACAGTATATTTGCAGCACAGTAAGTTGTGCTTATTTCGGTAACTCTCCTTGACATTTTGTGAGCTAAATTGACATGGAAGAGCTTGTACTAGGTTTTCCAAACAAAGAGATAACCTTGTATGTGTTTTTAGCAACTTTACTGAAGTCTTGCTTTGAAATGCACTAACTTGATCCTAAATTCTGAGTTCAGCAAGTTCAAAGGAGATCAAAATTTTGAGTGAAATCAATGAAAGCCTTCTTTGAAAAAGTACTTGCTTGACTTTGATGGAATATGGACAATTTTTTTTCAAATTGTATTCTTTTCTAGGTTGTGCATTTCTTTTATATTGTTAATTGACTTAACAGTTTAACAAAGCAATAAGGCTGATTTTTTTTTTTTCCCCCAACAGGTTGGAGCAAGAAGTAGATCCAATTTAGCAGAAAAGGTCAGACTAAGCCTTCAGTACGAAGAGGCGAAAAGGAGGTTAGTTGCTTTGCTGGGTTGCGGCGGGCGCCGGGAGGTAACGTTGTGCKTGCACTGACATCTAGTGGCCCGGCGCCCTGCGGGCTCTGCAGCTACCACTGCAAAGCTCTCCAGCGCAAAAGAGACTTCCTGGAGGCGTCGGGGCTTTTCAGTGATAGATTTCACATGTAATGCTAAATTTCGTATGTTAAGAAATAAAAGGCAGACAGTGACAAGTTGCTGGCAGCTCCTGGATTAAGAGGATGTGAGAAACTGCCTTCCCCCTGAAAGATGTTGCTGAGACACTCATGCCCATTGAAATCCTCTTTTGGGWTCATGCTCTCAGCTTGTGCCACTGGTTGTTCCTAAGTTGTAGGGTTGCTTCAGAGTTCCAGGGCAGATTCGGTAGCTCAGTTATCTCTTTTTCCCATGAGGAGAAGCCATGGATAGTTTAAATTTTATGGAATTCACACTTATCACGGTGGGGGTTGTGGGTTCTTTTGTTTTGCTTTTTGATTTTTAACCTGATGAGAAGAAATTAGAAACTGCCTCACTGATGAAGGGGGAATGCCTTCCCCCTTCATCAGTGAGGAAGAGGTTCACTCGTGGCTGCTGAAGAAGGCAGTGCTGTTCTGCTGACTTGCTGCAGCACCAGGGAATGGGCATCAGCAAGCAGAACATTCTGGGTTGGAATTACATGCCTGCTGATGCTCCAGAGAAACAAGGCTGTGTAATTCTGAGGGAAGATGTCTTTATTTAATATATATATATGTTATATCTTTGTTATTAATGTATTATCTGTGTTGTAATATTTTCTAATATGTTTCACAAAATTAGAAGGTCTTTCAGCTACCTTGAAACCTTACAATGTTTACCTTACCATGAAGGCCTTTTGAAATCCAAGGGAAATAGAAATCTTGAAAGTTGCCTTGCATGCACCTGAAGTTCTTTTTATCTACTGGAAAATAAAAAAAGGACAAAATAAAAACTAGCACTTTTCTGTAGACAAAACTGTGCCTAAAATACCATTTACTGTGCAATTTAAATATTTATTCAATTGGAATACTCTACCGTGCTCAGCTGGTGAAAAGCAGGAAGAAAAAACTGCTGCTTGCAAAGGCTTGCTTGGCTTTTAATTTTTTAAGGCAGGAGGCTGTACAACCAGCACTTCCTATGCCAAATTCCAAACATACGCCCACTTCATGTGGAATAGTAGCTACTGTCCTTGCCAGTGGTGAAGTAATCCTTCATATCTTCATTATGGATCATAAAACTTTATGATCTTTATATAATCWGTGCAGTCAACAGAGAGTGTTGAAGCTCTTCAGGATTGAATTTGTATGATTTTGGCTCTGAGTTGTCATGTAAGTGATAAGGTCAGCTGGTGTGTTAGATGCAATAGGTGGCATTTCTTTCACAGGGATAACTGATCTCGAAACAGACTCTGTCTTGACTGTGTCCTGATAGAAGTCCCGTCATGATGTTTTCCCTCTCGTTTGCCCAATAAAAATCAGTGTTTGGAGCGGAGAGTCCTCCAAGCAGCACAAGACTTTGCCTTCCCACCACTTAGCTGGTCGGAGCAGTAGAAATTGGAGTAGCTCATGGACTCACCTTTGCATACCCAAGTATTTATTCTGTATAATTTATTAGTGGTTTTTCAAGGTTAAATTGTCTTGTCTTAAATGTAATCTTTATTAGTTTTTGTCTGAGAACTGACCAATAATGCATATTCTTTTCCACTTTAAATAAGAGTGTGAGATGCCTTGAAAGATAAAAAGTCTTTAAAGGGTTGGAACATACTGGTTTCATCAGTAATGACAGGGTTATTTTAATGAAGTGCTYATATCCTGGAATAACAAGGAAAACATCCCAGTTTCCACATAAATTTCAATATCTAATTACATGTCACCAACCCTCAAGAAAATTATGGCTATTAAAATCATCACTATAACATAATATCCTTTCTGAAACATTAAGTGTGCAAATTCTTGCCTATTTTCTCTTAATACAACCAAGAGAAAGAGAAGATTTTAAAATTAAACTTCYTTGTTTGAAAGTTGTCAGACAGTGTTGCCTATTGCATATTTAATATTGCATATTCAATATTGGTTTTCCATCAGAGCCTCTTGAAGAGACAGAATATTTTCTGTAGGTACTCCTGGGATTTTAAGAAAAGTAGCGGGCTGGGTGGCCCAAACTAGACATACTGAAGGAGTATTAAAATGTATTGACTTGGAAATCAGATGCATAGGAGAAAGTTGATGAATTTGGTATTTGCCGGTCATGCCAAGCTCAGTCTGCTCCAGGCTGAAGCTTCTATTAAAGAGCTGGGGKGTAGGGGGCTGACAGTGACTTCCCAGTGCACTACAACCATTTAATGTGCCTTGACCTGTGGGGCAGGACTACGTCAGAAGAGCGAGAGCAGTTCAGTTTTCATGGCCATTTAGTCCTTCACCTTCCTGATGAGGCAGCTAGCAAGGGTGTCCGCTGTGATAGCGGGGAGTCCCCTACAGCAGCGGGAGCAAAGGAGCAGTCCAGAGCGGCGCGTCCCGTCCCGCAAGCCATCGAGCAGCTGTCAGGAGCAGCTTCTTGCAGAACGAGGTTAGCTGGAACCGCTGACCTGGAGCTGAAAGCCTTAACATCTCATTATCCGTCTGAAATTAGCCAGGTGCTTTTCCTCTCAGTACTGCTCCTTGGACGGACTGTTGAATAGAAATGAGAGAGAAAGCAGCTGCAAAGTATGTTGAAATGCATCATTTTACTTCATCCTACCATTTGGTTATGGTAGCCCTGCTGATTGTATTTCCATTTATTTGGCATTGTTGGAAATGCTGTGGAAATATCTTGAGTCAGGTGGTATTTGCAGGAGCTTTGTGGCTATATATTCATTCATTTGTTTTAGCTTCCGTGGATTTTTTTTTTGTGGGTTTTTTTAATGGATATAGAGATAAGAATCAAATCTTACCTCTGTAAATAGATTTTTTTTTTTCCCCTTAAGCTTCCAACATGAGCAATGGGATAGTTAGATTCAACATTAACTATTCAATTATTCTTAGCTTTGTCCATAAATAAATGCCTTGATGTAAGGTTAATAACAAAGTTGCTAAATAAGCATGATTTTGTTAACCATAGAAAACCAGAACAGAAGGAAGAAAACTGTTTTTTCCCAGCAGGCTGCCAGGAGAACACAGAGATTGTCCGTACCAAGCCGCCCCGGCGGGTTCGTGCCGTGCCCGTGGCTGGYGGCGCTGCACGGACTTGCCTCAGCTGATGAGACGACTTGGGTGTATTTAATTATGGCAGTCATAAATAAATAAGAGCAACAGATCAGTCCCTCTTGCCCCAGGTCGTGTAGGAACATCTTTGGGTTTTTGCTTTTTCTTTCTCTGCCGTTCTGCCAGCCAAGAGAGAGGCGCAGGCGGCGAGGAACCTTTGTGGGTTCCGTAACCTCAGGAGCTTCCGTGTCCTTAYGTAGGCAGCTGCTTCAGGTGTGGCCGAGGCTGGAAGGGCCTCACCGTTACCAGCTAGCCCATCTTCAGACGTGTGGCACTTGGCAGACGTGGGAGTTTCCCTGTAGTTCCCAGGGGGCAGAGACCAAAGACAGAGTGATTACAGAGGCTGAAATTGGCAGTAACCTCTCTTAGGGAGGAATGGGTTGCAGTCATAACAATGTAGGGAAGTTCCTGTTTCCCTTGTATGCAGATCTGTTTCTATACTGTATGTATAGATAAGTAAATCTTGACTCTCCTAAACTTTTATTTTGACGTGTGCAAAGGGAATGGTCATTGCACAAGCAAATTAATGATTACTTTTTCCTTTAGGCAGCCCCTGTCATATTACATTTTCTTTCAGTCATGCACAAGAACCATGCTTTTGCCTCTTAACGTTTTTGTAWGTGCTACTGAAGTCAGTGCCTTTCACAAGGATTGTGTGTTTTGGTATTGTTCTGTAAGTACAATTGCTTAAGTAGAAAATGTTATACACTGATAAGTATCCTATTTCCTTTCAAARTGCTGCATCATTTCTGTCTTTACTGGGAATTGTGTGATGTGCTGAACTCAGACAAGTCTGGTGTGTTTTATTTTAGCATGGCTAACTTAAAGATCGAACTGTCTAAGCTAGATAGTGAGGCCTGGCCTGGGGCGCTGGATGTGGAGAAGGAGAAGCTGATGCTAATCAATGAAAAGGAAGAGCTTCTCAAGGAGCTGCAGTTCGTGACACCRCGCAAGCGGACTCCGGATGAGCTGGAGCAGCTGGAAGCAGAAAGGAAGAGGCTGGAAGAGGAGCTGCTCTCTGTGAAAAGCACCCCCAGCCAAGCGCTTGCTGAAAGGTAAGGGCTTGTGTTTTGATGCTGTTAAATGTCCCTTTCTACACTCTGACCTTTGGACACATTGCAGACCCTGACCTATGCTGGGATGGGCTGCTTTCCTTCAGTAACCAGTCTGCACAGGTCTTCATTAAATTTATGATTAGTTTTYGGGGCAGTAACACACAATTCTTCTGTGCTGGGAGAGAATGTGCCCAGCCSGTGTGTGTGCCCTGCAGTATCCGTTGCTCGCACTTGTTACCAGCACGGAAATGCCTCTGACAGATGGGAAACACTAGGGAATGTCAACTAGGGAATGTCAACATAGCAGCAAGAGGGCAACGCGTCCGTCACGAGGTTCTGCTCTATGCTATCGGAAACTCAGATTGCAAAGATTATTTTGATTGTTGCAACCTCCAAAACCTTTCATTGTGAGTTTTATTATGTACAAAAAATGCAACCAAAAAAAAAAAAAGTTTCAGAGAAAAAGCATAATTGCTGCAAAATCTTCCTAACTTGCTGCTGCTTAACTGAAGCAGCTCCTACAGTAAACTGCAAAACCAGGTATGGGGTTGTAGGAAATCAAAGGAGTTTATTGCAAATAGACTTTTTATGAATTGCARGTGGAAATAACTTTATGAGAACCTCACAGTAGCTACACAAATGACATACACGCAGCTACATTTTTGTTTTGATCAGTGGAGTGTGTTTATAGAAGCAGTACTACAGTGGGCATTGTAACTCCTCCTTACCCCCCTCTGCTAGGAAGGGCTCAGTTTCACCATATACTTYTAGCGACTGTAGAAGTTGTCGTTAGCATGAAGGAGGGGCTTTTTTGTTGTTGTTATTCTTGACAAAATGCGTGCCCAAATTAGCCATGATTTTTGAACACATTTATATACTTTCTGATATTTTAATTTGCATTAAATTGAGAATCCAGAATGTTTTAGATCTGTGTCCTAGTGGAAGTGTATTTTACAGGAAAAAATAGCTAKCTATGTTAGCAATATCTAAATTACCATGGATCCATTGCTTTCCTCTTCCATTAATACTAGGAGAATAAGGCATCGATAATAAAATCATGTTCACAAATTAAACTCTTTTGGTAGTATGACTTTGTAGTTACAGCCAAGTCTTCACTCAAGCTATAAACAGTGGATGTCTTGGTCTTGTGTTTTGTATTTGCATGTTCAATGCTGAAGAAAATTCAGCACCTGAACTCTTTTCCATGCATGTCAGATTCCAAGCTCAAGATTACCAAGGGCAAGTGAAACTTTCTCCCATTGTCAAGATGAAATGAGATAGCAGGATTTTTTTTCCCGCTGTATAGTAATGCAATTGCTAATTCACTTTTAGATTTTTTTTCCCCTTGATTTCCTTTCAGCTCCTTTGGTTTGCATGCTGCAACTTAGAAAGAGMAGTATTCATCTGTTTCTGAAGCTGCTGAAAGATTTCATATCGTATTCTGCTCATTGAGGCAGTGTTTATGGTACCTTCTGGTGTGAGGAGGTTTTGGTTTGATGTTGTTTTACCATTCTGGTCAATCTCTATCTAAAACTCTTCTATATCAAAACTATTTCTCTCCTGTTGACTCGTGTGTGCTATGAACAAAAAGGATTTTTCTTTAAGAATTCAGATGATGTTACTGAAATGTTAACTCAAGAAAAGGATACGGTTAATTTTATCAGATCAAACTTTAACATTTTATTTTGGGGGGATGAGAGAGATTCTCCTGTCCCTTATCAGCGAAGTAGCCACAACATCTTCTCCCCAAGAGCTGCACTGTTRTTGCATTGCTGTTTTCTTTCATGAGGTTTCATGGATAGTACAGGTTTCCAGTATTTTCAGAGGTGCTGGAAATGAAGCAATGCTGTAGAAAGCTATGGATTTTWTCAGAACTTGATGTGACAAGCTTTTGTTTTTTAAAGAAGAAGAAATGGAAGACTTGCTTTGACTTGAAACAAAAACATTATCAGTGTAGCCCAGGGTTATTTGGCACTAGGCTGCTGAGATTGCCACTAGTAATGTACTCAGAGTCAATTTACAAAAAGAGAGTATAAATCATAACAGATCAACTTCAAAAAGCAGAGGAAGGGCACAACCCGACTGCTCTAAGAAGCCTCCCAGCAACTCTACAGAAATATCCAGAACGTGCAGCCGTAGGAAGCYGCTTGCTGCTTTCTTGCCTCTCCGCATTTGTGTTAAGGAGATTCCCTTACCCTTTAGTCCTTGGCAAAATCTTCTCAGTAATCGTATGTGTTTAAACAGATGCGAGGCTTCACGGCCAYGTAGTTATTTTGCTGTGGCCTGCAAAATCAGTCCCTACTGTCCTAAGCAAACGTATCCACCTGACAAGCTGGCGCTGAAAGAAGGTAAGTGCATTTCAACTCCGAGTGCATTTACTGGTGCTCAGATGATGCCACTGGCGGCAAGGTTGCAATCTGTGATCAGAGCTGCACAAAGGCAACTCTGCAGCAACCATGGATCCATACCCATAGGAGGAAGGGAGAGAGCAGCAGAGGCCCATGACGGAGTTGACGCAGAGATGGTCTGCGTGTTCCTCTGGTCTTGATATTAAAGYGTCCTGCTTCTGCTATAAGGAGGAAAGGTTCTTTGTTCAGAGGTTTTTAATTCAGCTTGCCATTGGATGGCCAAGAATATTTAAATGTCAGAATTTTGTTGTACAATAGTAAAACTATTTCTTYCATGTCTTGGAACTTGCAAGGTGATTTTTAACCAAACCAGCTTGTGTTTGTTAGTCATGACTAAAAGCATTCTGAAATTTATATAAAGGAAWTGATACTGCTTTTTAAATTACTACTAAATAAAACTGTAGCCAGCAAAATTTCTTTTATCCAATGACTATACTGCAGTAGCAAATAAAAGCAGAGCCTTTCTTGTGCCAAAGTGGGGGGATCTTTTAGCTTAACAGTTAAAGCTAGAGCTTAACAGTGTAAATTCAACAGAACAAATACAGGGAACTGTGTTAAGGACTTCAGTCAGGGAAGAGGTTTCTTAGTCCCCACTGCCCACGAGTTGCTCCTGGGGCCCCTGTCCCGCCGGCCACTCAGGACCTGGTGTCAGTGTGTGCAAGAAAGCAAGGGTTGCTTTTATTTATTTATTTACTTGTTTATATTTCAGTGCTCTCTGCATTTGAATTTACACATCCTTGAGATGACAGAARGGCCAAAGGAAAGATATTCTGAGCAAGGTCTTAACTCCGTTTTATTTATTTATTATTTAAAGTAATTTTGGTGTCTCRGATTAGTTGCTCCAGAGTTTACATGTATCAGCTGACCGAGCAAGGGTTAGAGGGGAATGTGCTAATCCCCAGCTATGGGAGGGGTTTGGTTAATTCCCCAGGGAGAGCAGTGTATTTGYTGTTGGAAATGGAGCGGTAAAAGGGAGTTAAAACAGGGAGTTAAACTATGGGAGGGGTTTGGTTAATTCCCCAGGGAGAGCAGTGTATTTGTTGTTGGAAATGGAGCGGTAAAAGGGAGTTAAAACAGGGAAAATCAGTGTAAAGATGAGTGAGTCCGTACTGTTCCAAAGGGAAGAGGAAGGTTTCACCGTTTGTGTTGGCAGAGCTAGGCTGGACACTGGTGCAGGAGGGAATAATGCTGCTTTGGCAGGAAGGTGACCCTAGCAAAGGAGCCTTGTGATGCCGCCCGGCTCCGGCAGGGTTGTGTGGGGTGTGGAAACCCTTGTCAAGCACTCTTAGCCCTCAGATCCTCACGTTGAGCCCCTGCTTTGGTTTATTATAGTTTGTCTCCACATGAAGAGTTAGAAATTCACCAGAGTGTTTTGATGGTCCCCCCTGTTCTTCCTTTAACAGAGCTAATATTGCTTACTGGTCTTGTTTCCTGCCTGAAATGTTATTTAGTGGGAAGCCTGTGTACAATGTTGCTTTTAACAGTGGTATTAGAGCAGATTTTACTTTTCTGAAAATGCAGCCGTTTTCTTACTGCTCCTTTGTTGCTCTTTTATTGTGTGTGTTTTTCCTTAGGTGCAGTGTGACCATACCAACCATTTATTTGTTTTTATGACCRTTATGGTTTGTTTTGGCACTCAGTATTCTGCAGTTAAAGTCACTGGTTTTTCTCTTCATTTCCATCTTATGTGTATTTTGCCACACATGCCTCGTCTCCTGGCCATTTTGTAATGCTTTCTTAYACTTGCATACACCTCTGTTTCCAGATTGAAATTGGAAGAGCGAAGAAAAGAGCTGGTACAGAAACTTGAAGAAACTACAAAGTTAACTACTTATTTGCATTCGCAGCTGAGGAGGTGAGGCCGCGCTGCATAATGTAAAATCTGTGTTCAGTTTAGTGGACCTGGGTGTCAAAACTTCATTCTTAGATTTTYTTCTGTTAGCTAGAGGCCCAACTAATTTTATTTAATATTGAAGGAAAAAAAAAGGTTAAAAAAATGCAAATGTAGTAGCTTCAAGCATTTTGTTTCCATGAAGAYTCAATGTAGCTTCATAATTTCAGTAAGCACAGAAGAATAGATTTTTTGAATTAGTTTTATAATTAAGCAGGGAGGCATATTCTCTTGCCACAGTGTTAAAAGTAGTAAATAAAATCAGAAAGTGGTCAGTCTCCCAAATGCTGTCATTGAGGGGAAAAAAATAGTTTCTCAGACATCTGTGTAAAATGTGTTATTAGAACTTTTATTTGGTGCAGTAGCTGGTGACACTCAATGAGCACATGCGTGCGTGTAAATATTTGTGTGATCCTCATTTTAGTCTTCAACCACTGACCTGTGCTTTCTGTAAACAGAAAATACATTAGCAGGTATTTTTTGTGACAGTCATTGTTTTAAAATCTGACTTATTAATGAAATTCGTAGTGATGATTTAAAAAAAAAAGAAGAGGCATCCCTTGATGGGAATTGTGATGTTTATTGATGTATGTAACTGATCCCAAGGAAGTTTTTCCCACTCACAGACAGTATCCTGGGCTACAAAACCATCTGTCTKCAGCATTTATTGCACAGATCCAGCTGAATTTCCTTAAACTCTTTGCACTTGTCAGAAAGCTGCCTTAATATTCAAGTATTCGCTTAGAAATCAAATGGAGCAGTAAGAGGAAGAATGTTGTTAGGCRCAGAAAGAAGGTGCTTCCTCACTAAGCCATTCCATTTCATCCTTGGGATCCAGGCTGCCATTTCAAATACTGCAGCTGGGGCCTGGGAAGRACATCTAGATTGGTGACTAGGTGGACAAAGTGTCTCTTAAATCCCCTTTCTAATGAAAAGTGCTCCTGTTTGTGCTTGTGGGCCTCCTTGTCCACCAGTTTTCTTGCCCAGTGGCAAAATGTTTAGAATTAATCACTGTTATTGTGTGAACGCCTCCAATAACATTGAGCATTAGGAAATGGTTGCGGGACAACCTCCCGTTAATCTTGTCTCTCCTGCTACTGTTTGGTGCTGGTGACCAAGTCTGGTTTAGTTTCGTAACCTTGGCGTGTGTTTGTGCTTTCTTCGCAGCCTCTCGGCTAGCACGTTGTCTGTGTCTTCAGGGAGCAGTTTGGGATCTCTGGCATCCAGCCGGGGATCCCTGAACACCTCGAGCAGAGGGTCGCTCAACTCGCTCAGCTCTACGGATCTCTATTATAACCAAGGCGATCCGATAACAGATTTGGACTATCAGTATAAACTTGACTTCATATTGCAAGAAAAAAGTGGTTACATTCCGTCGGGGCCTATCACAACTATTCACGAAAATGAAGTGGTCAGTTCCCATGGGAGACTGGGTTACAGTGACTCTCCTTCAGCTTCCGACCATCCAAAATTGACTGAACCTCCCAAATCTGTGACGTCGCTGTCGTCAAGATCCTCGCTGTCTTCCTTGTCCCCGCCAGGCTCCCCTTTGGTTCTGGAAAGTGAATTTTCAATGTCAGCTCAGAATTCCCCTCTGCATCACCTCGCTGCAGACTTTGAAGACTGTGACCTGCCGGCTGATTTTGCAGCCATTAATCTCTGTGAGAACCAAATGTTACTGGACTCTGATGCCAGAGCGGGATCTCGGATCCCTACAGATGATAAAGATCTTAATGAGAGCATTAGGCAAGCTCTGCCTCCTCTACATGAAGGAAGCGCAGGTAATAAAATTGTAATATCAAAGCTATGCATAAAATGAAAATTCTGAGCTAACTGCTGGCTTATGAGCAAAGAGATCCCTGTCGCAGGGCTGAGGGATGGCGTGAGTGACGCCGTCTGCCTGGGCCGGCAGTCGGTGGCTCTGAGGGACAGCCTGTAGCTTCACGTCTCGTGTCCTCGGAGATGCGTTCTCCCCAATTCCATGTAGATTTATTCATAGCTGTCTCAGATGGAAAGCTTGTTTACTGACTTCCTTATCATGAAAAGTTAACAAAGAAGGACCTGGATACATGAAGAGATTTGTGTTGTCCCTCTGTATTGTGAGGGCACTTGGGGAAAGTGCAGAAATATCCCGTGCTGGTTTTTTAGTAGCTAGAAATCAGAAATCAAATTTCTCACTGARGAATGTTACAAATTGGCATCCTCAMCATTAGAGATATCTGGACTTACACTTAGGATTTCTGTATGTGTAGATAATTGTTTGAACCTGCTGTCTCTGCAACTCCTGCAGATCATTTTCAGTGTGAGATGAGAAAGACATAAGGAATGGCCACCTTCCATGCAGTGCCGTGAGACTCTATAGCCATTTCTGGTGTGGGCTTCAGACCTTTTAGCTTTTTACCCCTCTGAAAGTTAGACGGAGCACCACACAGTCTGTGGGTAACTTCAGAGGAATGAGTCATCCTATCCTGAAACATCCTTCCCTTTAAGGAAGATGGGATAAATCACCCTGTGAAGCTGCCCGTCTGCTTCTCTTGTCTGGAGAGAGATCCTCATAACTGGTCAACGTTAACTTTGAGATGTCTGAATTAGATGTAATTAATTCCACTTCTAGCATGCAGTAAAGCAAGGTAACACAGTTAGTTTTCCTACGTTGTCATTGCCGTGACAGAGTCAGAGCTATAAAAATCCCTGCTGCTGAGAGCTGAGGGCTTGGCAAAGCCTGAGAGCAGGGACGTTGCTGCCTGCTGCTGAGGCTGCTGTGTCTTGTGCTTCCTCTGTGCGCTTATCCATTGACTTCTTCTAATGTCATTCTTTGTCACGCTATTTAAGTATCTTGCAACCAGCTTGGCTGTGTCCACTCCATTTGGTGGACACAGTGAGGAAAGCGAGRGAGCCAAATTTGTGCTAGCGCTGAGCCCTGGCGGCCCCTTTGAGATGCACCTGACCAGCACCCCTGAAAATTGAGTGCTGAGTTATTTGCGTCACCTCGTAGAGTGATTGTGTGGCAGGGCGGCAGCCAGGCGCTCCTCAGTCGCTCTCTGCAGTGTGAAGCCATCTGCTAATTTTTCCCCTCACCTGGAGCTGTTATTTCTCTTTGATTCTGGCTCTCTGTGGAAGAAACGGACCCCAGGTACCCAACCCAAAGAAAGAGGGTGTTTTGCTCGGGGCACTCTTGAAAATATTTCCGTACGCACTTCTGCAGAGGAACGGCGTGTCGTGACAGGGTGAAGTGGTGCCCAAACCCTTCACGTTCCCAGTTACAAATTCCTGGATCTGAGCTGACTCTGAAGTCGCTAAGTTAGGGGGTCAGAGGAAATCCGACAGCCCAGCTAGCAAGTGCATCGTCCAGCTTTGTTCCAAGCTTAAACCCTCGCCACAGGAGCTTACCCATTTTTAAAAGGTATTTGGAAACTCAGAGATATAATTCATAATAAGCAGTTTGATTTTTAGTAACAACACTAGCTAATGTTACAGAAACTTCTTAAGTTGTCACACTGGTTATTTCTAGTTATTTCAGTGTTGAGCGGAGCAATAGCAATGTGGCATCAGCAGAGAAAGGTGCAGGGTACCTAGTCCAAGTTGGGACTCCATCCGACACTCTCACTGTGCAGAAAGAAAAGAAGATAAAATTGACTGAAGTCCTAATGGTCTGAGCCTGTGAAATGTAAAGTGGAAAAACATGAAAAGGGATTTAGAGCTTTTATTTTGCCTTCTCTGTCTTCCTGCCCTTTGTCTTTCCAGCATAGTGGAGCACTGTAGTCCTCTTGCTTTGGAACTGAGAGAAGATGAAAGAATAATTAATTTTCCTGCCTGTATTCCAGCAGCATATCTTTTCCAACTTARCTTCTTTATTTCCTTGCAGTCTGGCTGGGAATCATTTAGTCTGAGAACTGAATGATGGTTTGAAGTTTAAGCATACATTGGAGGTACCAGAAATTAATTCACACTCATTTTTCTTTTCCTGTGGAAGCTTATTTCTTTGTATCATTATTTTCAGAGGCACCATATGGTTATCTAATATTTTAGAGCTCTTTAAGGACCTGTTATTCTGGATATAGTCAGGGCATTTTAAAGTCTGAAAGCAGTTAGGATTTTACAGTATAAAAACATCTTGTTACTCTTCACAGTGGCTCTTGCTTCCTCACGTAGGGTCATATATATGATGGAAATTATTTTAAGATCTGTTTTGAGGCTGCCAAAACAAGCTGTCGGATTTCGAAACRGCAGAAGTTAATTAATTGGGCTTCCTATACTGCTAGTTTCCACAGCAAAACGGGCCTCCCGGTGAGGCTTCAGCATATCAGAGGTGAGGCACAGAGCCGGGATTGCCTCGGTGTTTCTGCTCACTAATTTCGTTCTTGGAACTGCTGTGATGCTGAATGGAAGAGTTTTCCAACACACTCAGCCCGAGGCATCAAACCGGCATGGAAAAATTCCCTCTGAGCACCTGAGTTTCACCAAACGGCAAGAACGTTACCTGGGGGGCAGGCACACACACCTCTGGACGGTACAGCTAGCGCGCTCCTGCCTTAATGGACACTGATGTTTAGGTGAGGAGCTCGCTCCCCTCGCTGTGCCCGCTCCCCGGGGCGGGGAGCCCGCGTGCGTTTGCTGCTCCGTGCAGGCCCCTGCTCTCCGTGGGGACGCCGGGTCCTTCTCGCACAGTCGCTGTCTGTCATTGTCAAAGGCACTTCAGGCTGCCCTGGAAATTCCTAAGGGTGATCAATGAATCGTGTCATCCCCTTCACCCCTCGYGGGGCGGGGGGAAGGGGAAGGGCACTTCATCATCAAGGAAAAAGCATTCCTACTGCCGTAAGTAAAGGCAGAAATGCAGCTATCAGTCATCTCATCTGAAGCCTTACATTTTAAACATCTTAACAAGATGTAAAGTCATGATTCAGGTGCGGAGTGTGATGCATACCAATATTCCCAGATGAAAGTGCTCCGCAGGCCCTCAGCTTATTATGCTGCAGAACGGGGCTTTCTGTGAGTGCTGCTCTTCACTGCAGGACACTAGCATAAAAATGCAAGTTGAGCATTAAAGTTAAGTAGYAGTTGATAGTAAAGACTCTGTAGCATAAAAAGTTTTTGATAATAGTAAACCAGAGAGGATTTTTCATTTCTAGCAGCTATATCACTGGAGAGAGGGGCATCTGTCCGACTTGTGCATTTTTCATAAGCAGCAGGCAGTCCCTTTGCACGTAGCTGAAGCCTTACTAAGCGCAGGATGTGAAGGTGGCAAATACAGGCTGAAAGCTCGGGACAGTGGTGGTTAATAATGAAGATAATAAGGGATAATAATTAGCCCGAGTGACGTGGGCAATGATAGAAGCCCGTATTCTGGAAAAGAGCAATAGCTTTACATTTTCAGGCTCATCAGTCTGGGCACGTGACTCGCTGGCCAGGATACGCGATACCAGTAACACAGCCCCAGAATGCTGAACGATGTCAGCGAAACTGCCCTGTGAAACTGCCCCATTCAGGGTCACTGGTTTCCACTTGACCACTTCCTAAGCCATGTGCTCCTCTTTTCCTGATGATTAAACCAGTGGACTAATTTTTATTCTTCTTCCTTTCCTAGATGTTGACTTACCCAGAAGAGCAGCTAGTCACCTGCTTGAGGAGAAAGCAGCTTGTGTATCTGCTGCTGTGTCTGATGAGTCGGTGGCTGGAGATAGTGGGGTGTATGAAGCTTCTGTGAAACAGTAGGTTTGCAAAATAGTGTAACTTGTTCCATCCAAAGAAAAAATATCTGAACAGTTGTATCGGCATTGGCAGTTTATCAGTCTTGTCCTTTTATAAATATTTTGCAGCTTCATATTGAAAGAAAAGCACTTTGATGGAAAAAAAAGGAGGGGTTATAATTACTTTTTAAAAGCTAAGAAATTAGCATTCCAGCTTGTCTGTAATTTGGCTGCTGTAATTAGTGCTACTTTCTACTCCCGTGTTTTTCTTGCTGAAGCTGTTTCCTACCAGACGTGCTATATTTAAGCTCTAAAGGTGCTGCCATGTTGCTGTATTGACACTGCTCTGAGTGACCTGGGTTAGTTTTRCTCTTGTTTGAATAGATGAAACCATATGATTGCACAGTATTGTGCTTGAATATTTTCCTTTTTATAGAGAAGATGAGAAAAGCCTCAAATATAATGTTGTATTGAAATAAACCAGATCAGGTTTTAATATTCATGCCTCGCTGTGGTGAGCAGGGTAGGAGAAATGTATTTACTGTTGCTTCCTTATGATGAGAGATGGATTCTGCCAGCGTCCCCATTTGTACAGACTTGTCCATTTCTTGGCAGGGAGAACAATGAACTTTAGCCTGAATAATAGAAGAATATTGCAAACTGTGAGAGAAGCTAAACCCTTATTTTTCACCACAGTGTCTGCATATTCCTGACATTAAGTTTTTAAGTATTTTGAGACGTGTTTTAGCAAAATGCTTTCAAAAATGCAGATACACAGATGTCCTGCTGCCAGTCTAAATGCCTCCCTGTTGGGAGAGATGAGTGTGTGTTATGGGGTTCTAAATGAAAAGAGGCTTTATTGGCCTCTGYTAAAAGTACTTATGCTAGTGAAGTATTTTGCAAATTAAAAGCTAATAAAAATAGATGAGACTAAATGCCAAAGCTCAAAAAAAAAGGGATTTCTACTGAGCTGAAGTATTACAGTGGCCATTCAGTCCCATCTGAGGCTGTGCACCTGGTATTTCACCCTGCACAGGCAATCCCAGTAGGAGTTTGCTCCTTATTTTCAGTTAGRCCTGGACTCCTAATACAATATCTCAGGCTGAAATAAACTTTTCTGTGTAAAAACTTAGTCTTACTTGACTGGACGGGTRGTTGCAGTTGTGTGTTTTGGGTCTGATGTCTTCCCTTTATAGACCACTTGTGGAAGCTGTGATTTCCAGCCCCTGGTTATGCACTGCTAGATGCAGATGTGGACACTCTTAACACTTACTGAGTAGGAAGTACGGAAGGGGTAACACGAACCTCTGTGTGATTTGCCTGCATTCAGTACGAGTGTCTCTGTAAACAGGCCGTGTGGAATAACTTGTAATGTGTCAGTGCGCTCCCGAGCTTATGACGCAGCCATTTCCACTGTATAAACTGGCCCTTCATGTTCAGCAACTTAAGGCAGGGGAGGAAATAAATAAACCCTATTAAATTAGCGAGCAGCCATGAAATAAACAGTGAAAAGGAAACCCCTGAATGAAATCTCTCAAATTGGTGGTGTCATGCCTTGATGTGGTATGGGTGGATATCTCTCCTTCTCCATAGCCCCCACTTTGACTGTGGCTTAGCAATCTCCGCAGTGATACTGAGCTTTAAAAACCACTGGAACTCCCTGATGCCACATCCTCATTGAAACCTCCCAGAAGATGCCTGGAGATTATTGTGCCACGCTGATTCTCTGCAGCTCTGTGCAGTGCTAGAGCAGCTCTTCAGCTGTCAGACTTGAGCCTGTTCTTTGAATGTTCCTGAAAATGGGCTCAGGAGCAGGAGGAGGCTGGTGCTTCTTGCCCAGAGCTTCACTGCACGGAGCTGCTGCTGCTTCTCGCACGYTCTCAGTAAGCGCTGCCCCCCATCCGGCTGGGATGTGTCTTTGAAACTTGACCTGGAAAWTTTATATTCAGGGGGCTGGAGGAGAAATACTAAGTATGTACAGAAAAATGGCATTAGCTTTTTTTTCCTCTTGCCTCGGTCTGACCTGCTTCAATCATCATTTAGTGAAGCTGTCAAACTGTCTAGGCAGCAGCTATTCTAAAACATGAGCTGCCATCATTGAGGCTCTCAAGCTCTCTTTAGGCTGCAATTTAATCAGCCTCTTTAGGCTAAGGTAATGTGTTTTGTATACACATGCCTCCATTATTGTTAAAAGTTAACCGTAACTTTCCTAACTATCAGGTGTTTGTCTGTTTGCCCTAGACCAAATGAAGCTGAGGACCTTGTCTATAGTGAAGATGATTCGACGRTTCTAGAGGCTGCCCAGGTACAAATAGGACTCAGGTGAGTGACCAGCAGAGGGGACATTTCTGTCCACATGTAAAAGCAAATAGTAACCTGGCTTCATGTTGTCCTTTATCTAACAGGTATGACCCCAGCAATTCGAGTTTTGTGGTGATCATAGTCCRGCTCAGAAATCTCCCAGCATTTTCGGTCCCCCTTGGCTCTAAAGTGTAAGTCAAACAATCAGTAAGCGGTAATGTTGAAATATGAGAATACAGTAATAAATTGTACAAGTTCTCCAGAGGAATGGATTGATTTACTGCTTAACAGCACTTAGATAGGTATATAATTTACTATGTCAAACTGTAGTTGGGCTTACCTTTACAGATTCCAATAATGCTTCAAGAAAAAGAAATATTGGGGAATTTGCACATTACCCTAAAGCGGAACAAAAATAGATTTTTWAAATAATGCTTCATTTAGTATATGTAAAATTTTTATACTTTTGCAAACAGAGCAATTATTATGTATCTATTAAAACCATATTTATGGTACCTAGCATTTTGTCCTGAAAGAATTACATTAGCAATCTTTATACATTTCTGTGCCGTATTTATATAAAGTGAGATTAAAATAACGTATGCTTGCCTTTTARGTGAACTTTAAAGGTAAGGGGTAACTTGATAAATTGCAAATTTATCRAGCATTATTACTGAGCATATGCATGTAGAAAGCAGATACTGCAGACTATAAATAAGGATGTCAACAAAGTGTTCCACAAAGAAAAGCTATAGCTGGCATCTTTTTAGAAGTATGTACTTCTAAATAGCACTTAAGCAGCTTCAGTGTAGAAGACTGGGGATCCTGCTAAAAAGATTAAATAAAACTGAAACTACCCAAAACAAGGAGGAGTGAGAAGGGACAAGGTAAAGGAAGGACCTTGAAAATCACAGTTTTGCTGTCACTTGCCAATATGTGAATGTGTGTATTTACTGTATAGATAAACATAGTGGAAAAATGGGGACAGAAAAATGATGTTATGCCATATCTATATTCTCTAGAAGATCCAGTTGGGCATATTAGTATTTCCTGGAATGTTTCCACACAGAACAGATTTTTACTTAAGGACGTCAAGATTTCTGTTTCCGTAATCTGTAATAACTGTTTACTTCTCAAGCAGGTAGAGCCTAGCTGAGTACTTAYTGCCTCAGGGTTATTTTTGATTCCTCACAAAGTCATAGGTTTATCCCAGCAAAGCTGGAGGTACTGCTTAAMAATTTACTGGTTTGTTCACTACTGCTTCTTTCTGTCTGTGGCATGATTGTCAGTCTTCTCAGTACTAAATGAGAAGATAGACTTGGATAGAGATAGAAATAACAACCTATTTTGCTGCTACCTTCCCGAGACACAGAAAGACCATCTGGGGAGATGCATGTGCGAGGGGTAGCGGGAGCCTCTCAGCCCCTTCTCTCCTTTCCACCTCTTTTTTTTTTTTCCCACCTCTGATTTGTGGCTGTGTCTTGCCTCACCATGCAGTTCTGTTTAGGTAATGGGGTCATTTGCAATCATGCATCGTGCAGAAAACACTAATTTAAGTACCGGTAACGTTCTTGGTGTTATTCCCTGCAGGTATGTTAGAGTAGCTGTGCTTCCATCCTCAACTGACATCAGCTGCCTGTTCCGCACTAAAGTTCATCCTGCCACGGACGCGGTTCTGTTCAGCGAGGTGTTCAGAGTGGCCATTTCCCAGGGAGCGCTGCTGCAGAAGACCCTGAGGGTGGACGTCTGTGCCGTCAGTAGAAGTCGTCGGGAGGAGTGCTTGGTAGGCAGCTTTATTACTGCCTCTTGCAGCTTTATCACTTCCTCTTTTTCATTAYTTGTTTTCCCTCTATTTTTTTTTCTTTTTCTTCTTTTTTTGCCCCCCTTTTTTTTGTTGTTGTTTTTGAGATTGTTTTGGGCACACATCTGTTTACTTTGTCCCTGGCTATTCTGGTGGTCAAAGCTGCTAAAATTCTACAGCACTTTGTGGAAAATTGTGATATATATCTTGACTGTTGTTGTAATTTTAAATCTTTTACCTTTTTTTTTTGAAGTTCCAGATACTCTAATCTTAGATAGAAGCTGTAGAGGGTGTTTTGATTATTCTGAACCCATGTTGCTTTAGCTCTTTTAATTACAGATTGATATTCCACTTATTCAGTTTGCATATATGCATGTATGTATATATGAATGTGCATTATACACATATATAGTATATAAAATCATAATAAACWTTACAGCATTATGCTAGCTGAAAGYAAAATCTGATCCCAATTCACAATATGTGCAAAAAAGTTTCAAAAATTTAATTAAAAAAATCAATGCAAACCTTCGTTATTGCAATTTTTCATGAAAAACAAAGTTTTGTATGTGGTGTCTTACATCAGATCCACCTTTTTAGTCTTTATGACTTGTGGCACTAATAACAAGGCATGGCACTTACAGACTGCCCTGCTGGAGGCTGGGCTTGGTTTGTGTGCCTTGGTTTCTGTGATTTGTTTGTCTGCTTGCTTTGGTCATGGTGGAACTAGCGGTGCTTCGTCTTCTCTCAGAATACTTTTGTGCTGGCTGAAGCAGCTTGGTTTTGTCTTTCACCAAGTCTTAGTAGCACAGTGAGACCCGTAGTTACAACACCAGAGGAGATGCGGAAATTGGYGGCTGGTCGGATTCGTCAGCCCAGGCTGCTGCAAGCAGCCGCGGTTTCAAAGCCGTGGAAGTGAAGCTGATGCCTGGGGACTGTGCTGGCCTTTCTCAGAGGACCCTGAACTCACCCACTTGTCTGATGTGAAGAAAACCAAGGGTTTTCCCTTCAGGTGAAGGAATGGCCGCAGAACAAAAAAGCAAAGAGACAGGAGACAAAAGGTGAAAGGGCCACGAGGGGCAGGTTCCTCACTAGATCTAAGGCAGGAGCTGCGAGGAGCGACCAGAGCCTTGGCCAGAGCGACGCGCTCGGCCCGGGGCCCCTGAGGCTCCTTTGCTTTGCCAAAGAACAGAGGGTTTTAAGGGCCAGGACAGGCCCAAGCAGCGGCGCTTGGGTGCCTGTGCGTGGCTGCGTGGAAGGGTTTTGTGGCCTCCTTCCCTGTCACTTCATCTGCCTCTTCGCCRCTTAAGCCACGAGAGGTCGTCCGTCATTGTTGGCTGCGTCGATGATTTTGGTGGTGGAACAACTGAAAAATTGACTTTTCAGTCAAGACTTGCTGTTCTGTAAGTCGATGCTGCAGGTTTCAGTGCCCCAGCTTTTCGTTATTGAGTGCTGTAGGAAGGAGATAAATGGGCTTTGCACATTATGGTGATGGAGAGGCTTTGGTATGTGGGCATGTGGGGAGAAATTATGCAGGCTGAAATAAAAAATGGCAGGCTGGACAGTATGAGGAATCTTTGATGTATTTATTTTTTTCATCTGGAGTCAGGGGGGAAATGGGAAGATTGCACAGTTAAAAAGAATTAAGATCCATGTCAAATTCACGCTGCCTGCTTTACATGAAAAATACTGTAGAATTAATTTTCAGCTGTCTTGCAGGAAAATGACAAATTTAAACTTTTCTTCCCCTTTCATATTCTGTGCAGGCTGGAACTCAGATCAGTCTGGCAGATTTATCACTTTCTGATGGGACTTGTACTCTGTGGTACAACTTGCTGCCTTGCAAGCGGATTCCTGGCAAAAAAAGCAAGGAGCAAAATGAAGAATCCCTGTTTCTGTTAAGCAAGCAGTCACCAGACTCCGTGGACTTGGTGAGCAACGTGTTAGCTTTGCTGTGTCAGCCAGAAGAGCCGTAGCCTTGTGGGGCCCCTGTGTKCCCATTATTCATGTGTCTTAGTTGACCTCCTCCGCTTCCCGGGGAGTCCAAGGTGCTGCTGTCCTGTTGTAGCGAGTAGCACCAAGGGTGTGAACTTGCTAGGAAGTTTGTCCGGAGCAGGGCCGAGGCCCGCCGGGGCTTGCAGCACTGTGCTCGGGTTTCAGAAACACTCCAGCTGTGTTTCCTTTTAAAATTAACATTATTTAGAATTTGCCTTTTCATTTTTCACCTTACTTTGTATGTGACTCGTTCTGTTCTCTCATCTTCCCTTTCCTTATGAACAGGATGCTGTGTCAGCTCTGCTGGAGAGAACATCGGCCGAGCTGGAAGCAGTGGAACAAGAACTGGCCGAAGATGAGGAAGAGGAAGAACAGGAGCAAAGGGGCTCTGAGGAGGACTGGTAACACTGCTTTTTCCCCATGGCTGTGCATGTCTGTATGCTTCCTTTCATTTATTCCTGTTCGTAGATTCCTGAGAGGGCTGTACTTTGCAGGGATTTGTGGGTGGGGGAAATCTCATCCTCTTGTGTAGTCAATTTATTCGCCTTCTTCTAGGTTTACGTTATCCTAGTTGTTCCATGAACAACCTAGGCCCTCCCACAGCTTTCCCTGGTGAGTATTATCGGCTCAGGAATAAGCCCGGGTTACTTCTGTCTGTACAGGTTAGAAATGCTTGTGGAGGCAGCTGATGAAGTTGTGGATGAAGAGGAAGGTGGCACTAAGCTGCCAGCAGAAGGCAGCCGTGCCGGCGATGAGGGGGTGTGCGCCGAGGCAGCCCAAGACGAGGGCAGAGGGAACAGCGCTGAGGCCCAGGAAAGCCACCGAGCAACCCTAGCACTGGCACTGGTGAGGACCTCACGTTACTCCTTCTACTGGACCTTACTAGGTCTGAAGACATTGTTTAATTTTAAAAAATGTTTCTCAGCGGTTAAATCTAGAAGCCTCATGTGTCTGAGCATTTACAGTTGGACGTGGCCTTTGCTCACACCTCAGGACATTCACTTAACAAAATCAGGTGGTCACCCCAGAGCTCTGCATGGGACCCGTGACAGAAACGCGGCAGAACTTCCAAGTCAATGAACTAGAAAAGTCAGTCTCCACATTTTTATGTTGGGTAGAGAGAATATTCAGGATACAAGTGCAGTCCAGTAACTTTAACGTGTGCATGTCCAAAATACTTCTGCACATCTGTTTTATTGCTACCATTTTTTTTTCTGATTTATCTGTTGGGWTTTCCTTCAAGTGAATAACTAAAGTGGAGCAGGTGTCAAGACTTTAGACCAGTGAGGGCATTTCCATATTTCCTTTTATTCTAGGGTGTGAAACACAGGCACTTYATCAAGTAGAAGATTCCAAAGTGTGTCAAAAACTGTGCACAGTTGAACTGCCTSCATACTGCACCCAAGAATGAGATCCTGGGTTAGAAATTGTTAATTGTGTTATGTAATACCCCGCTTTTCTAAAAACACCTTTAGTAAAGAATTAGTAAAGCCATGTTGTAGCATATACCCTAGAAATAAAAATTTTAGGTCACCTCTCTATGTGCACTAAATCTTGATGAAATCCTATTGCATGAATTAGACCTGCAGGTTCTGTACCACAGAAAAAATGAAAAGGCAAAGGATGACATCTTGTTCCTTCAAATGTATGACATTGAAATGTTTGACACCTCAGTGGACTGCTAGGAACTTGCTAGGAGCTGTAATTAACTTCCAGTTAACGTGGCGAGATGCCACATGAGCCAAGGGCATGTAATACAAGGACTGGCAGCCTTCTGGATAGCAACCAAACCCAGACCAAAGCTCCAAGTCAGCAAAGGGGCATGTCAAGGACGAYTCCTGAAGGCTGCGCCCGCACACACGTGCTTGTGTCCTGCTGAGTGGGGCTGGACCCGGGTGCAGTGTCAGGATGGAGCAGCCCTTGCTGTGCAGCCAGCCGCGGTGCCGGCCTCGGCCGGCTGTGCCCGTGCCGGCGCGCTCGCCGCTGGCCGCGCTCTGCGGTGAGGGGAGGAGGTGGCCCTGGAGCAGCCGGGGCTCGGGGAGCTGCAGCCAGTGCCCAAAGAGCTCGGGGAGCTGCAGCCAGTGCCCAAAGAGCTCGGCCCGCACAGCTTCCCCAGCTGGACACAGCAATTTAAATAGGAGTGCCCAATTAAAACATCAGCAAGTGGCAACGCGTGTTTGCTCTGCTGTCTGTCAGAGCATTCAAAGGGCGGTGAGGGCTTTTCTGCAAAAGCTTTGGTTTTACTGAGTCAAAGACCCATTTCCCTTACTTTGCTTAGATGGCTTCTGTATGTACAAGCTAATTTTTATTTTCTGAACTAGTCTTTTATCATCCCCTACAAGATGATAACAATGCTTGTAAAATCCGAAGGCAAAAAACCTGTGTGGTGGCTTGTGTGTGGATACAGCACTTCTTACAAGCTGAATTCCTTTGGATAGGTTGATAAAGAGACTAACACGGAAGAGCCGGTTGATGAGAGCGCAGCGGTGCGACCCAAGGACAGAGGCAGCTGGAGCTCCAGACAGCGCCCCTTTGTCAGGAACAGCATGATCGTGCGCTCGCAAACCTTCTCGCCAGGCGAGCGGAACCAGTACATCTGCAGGGTAAGGAAAAACACTTGGAATGAAGAGCTATTAACTACAGAGTCATTTAACTTCTTGGGAATGATGCATTAATGACAGTGAGTCATGTACCAATTTTCCCTGCGAGAGGCAGAGCCTCTGCTTTCTCCGGGGTCTTTTTTCCCCTGCATGACCTGATGTGGAGCAGAAGTGGCTTTCAGAAAAGTTGCATGCTCTTGCAAAACACTTTTAAAGGGCAAAAATACAGCCTGTTGGAGAGGCTGTCGCAGGTTCCTGTGCAGGCTGTCTGCAAAACGTGTGTTTCGCTGCATGTCAGCAACTGCATCTCTCACACAGCAAAGTAACCAGCAAAATCGCATAATGGAGTTCACTGAAACTGCCATTCCATTGCATTAATAGATTTTGATAACGTGGCTGTTTAAGGGTGTTTAAGAGTGCGAAAGGAGCCCACTCATCAATTTTGAATCTCCCTTTGTCTCTTAGCTGGTTTTAAAACTGGGCAGCCAGCTCAGCAGCTGCATGACGCTGTTCTGAAGTCCTGTGTCTTTGAAGGTGACCGAGTGCTGCCTAGGGGCCTTGTTTTGAATATGACCTTGGTGACAAAGTCCCATAGGCTCTCTAGAGCCGTGCTAGCATGAAGATCATGTATTTCAAGATGCAAGCATGAATTTTATATTATAGAATATATATTTTATCTATATAAATTTTAATTACAGAAACCATGAAAAAGAAAAGGCAGTCTTATTGATGTTGAGTTTCTAGAGGCTTCTCATGCCAGAATGGCTCTTACTCTCCAGTTCAGTTACAGGTGGTTGCCTTAGTCATCAGGGAATACTGAAGTTGCTCGCTTCTGTGATGACCATCGGGCAAAAAGAAGTCACTAGTATCAAAATACTTAAATTTTAACTATTCCATATACCCTCCATACCGAAATGCAGCAGGTTGTGTACAATCATCCACCATATTTGGAGAGATTATTGGCTGAATGTAGAATTCAGCCTTTGTTTCAATTCCAGTGGTCTGCAGATTTGGTGAGCTGACAAAAAATAGTAGCGTGTGGAGGAAGTCACATCAGATCCTCTGACAGTTCTGTTGGGATAAACTCCCGAGCTTTTGTGTCCAGAAATGTTTGGAGCTTTTGTAGCTTTGAAATTTGCCACGTTCTTGTTGCTGGAACCCAGATATAAAAGAACAAAGCRTGTATCCTTCCCAAACAGTGCTTTAAGGACATGGGGGATGAGGCAGCTACCTGTTTATATCCAGGGAGAAGTTGTCAGCAGTGTCTCCATGGTAAAAAAGAGAGATTTCTCTCTAGAGAAGTGTATTCCTGTTGCAAGAGGTTTATTTCCCACTGCGAACCCCYGATCGGTCCCGTATAAGTGCACTTTAGGGCACTGGCTTTATTGGTTTTGAAATGTCAGTAGCATCATTCTTTTTTGTCTGTCCTTTCGGAAGAGCTGCAATAAATAATCCTTCGGGTAGGTGCCCTGCCTTCTTGGAAGGTTACCGGCGTGTATGTTGATGCACCTAAAAGCATCGGTGTTTGCTGGTGTATACAGAGCTGTCAGTGTGATGGGAAAGGTAGCCCGCCCGTGCTGCACACACTAATATAACAGGGCTGTTTGTCGGGCCAGGGCACAGCTGTGGTCACTCCCTTTCCCTTTGGGAAAGCTGTGGAAAGCCCGTCCCAAACAGATGAAGTGCATGGTTTATTTCTGATGTGCGGTCACACAAACACCCAGCACTGATAGGGCAGTGCCGAATAATTGTGCGTACCTTTCTTGCCTTCCTAAAGAGCCCACTTAGTATTCATTTAGTAAGATCAATAGTCACCATGGTCTATGAATAGAATTTTATGAGCACTTTTTCTTGATGGAAGAAATTTTCTTTTACACTAAGGATGACCTACATGTTTATCAACACTGAGGTATTCTGGCTGCTTATATGGATACAGATGTATTTCTGTGAAGATGCCTGCTTTACATCTCTGTTTGTTATTGTCTATGTTTTGGCAGTTGAATCGAAGTGACAGCGACAGCTCAACACTAGCCAAAAAATCGCTCTTTGTGAGAAATGCCACYGAGCGGCGGAGCCTCAGAGTGAAACGGGTAGGTGCTGTGTTACCTGGACGTGCTTTCAGACACAGCTGGGAAGATGGGTAGCAAGTAATTTAAACACTTGCTTTATTTCAAGTATTTGAGCAAGAGCAAAGGAAATACTACTTGTACTCCCTGMAGTTCCAGGCTGGTATCTGAACACGCTGATCTCGGTCCTTCATCTTCCCCGCAGCAATAATCRGGTTGTAGCAAGTGGTGAGGCTGCTGCCTCTGCCTTCTTGCTGCCTCTGCTGCTCCCCATCATGGCATCTGCTACTGCACCTCAGCTTGTTACCGTCTGTGTGACACAAGTTGTAGATCCCTGTTAGTGGTTTACATGTGGTGGCTTGAACTCCACAAAGGGCGGCACCAGCAATGTGCATCTTGACCAAATTTTGGTGAAATTTCAAGGATTCAGATGCCCCTTTAACTCATTTGAAAGAGCAGCTGCATAGCCTTGGGGGGCTTGTCCTGCCCCATTTATTCTTGTGAAAAGGTTCCATGAAAGGATGTTACAGACATTTGAATTACACTGCAAGAAACACATATTTGTGGAGTTCGTAACATTAAGTGTGTGCGTAGGCCTTAACAAAACAAATGCTGATAAAAGTAAATAACAGGGTTGAAATCTATAGGACTAGTTTTGGACCTCCAGCATTCATAAGTGGTTGACTTACGAATGTGATTCATAAGGTTTTTCCTACAAGGAAAGGCAAAATGCTGGAGGTTTTCTCAGTGCATGGTGGACGCGCTCGAGGCGCTCCGGCCACACTAACTGTCGCCGCTCTCCCCGTGCGCGCGGCCGCAGCCGGCGTGCCAGGCGATGCTGCGGCGGGCGGCGCGCGACGGCCCCGCGCGCACCTCCCTCGACCTGGAGCTGGAGCTGCAGGCGTCGCGCACGCGGCACAGCCGGCTCAACGACGAGCTCCAGGCCCTGCGGCGTCTGAAGCAGAAGCTGGAGGAGGTGAAAGGCGGCGCAGAGAACGACCTGCCCCCGTGTGTGCTGGAGGACGAGCGATTCCAGAGAATCCTGCAGCAAGCCGAAAAGCAGGTACGGGCAGCAACCACCCAGGCCCCTTCTTACCTGGCCACTAATATTTGTTGTAGGAAAAGACTACCGGATTATTTTTGGTACCAGCCATGTTTTTGTTTAAATGGATGAAGAAATGAAAGATACATACGTTACTGCCCTCTTTATATATACTGTTATTATTACCCCCTCCCTTTTTATGAATTCGTTATGTAATTTGGTCTTTCGTAGTTGATGTATTGATAAAAGTTGGTGTTTACTTGCAGGTGCATAAAGAATATTTCTTGATTAGTTCACACTCCAGCATTTAAACCTAGAATCTGAAGTAGTTTATTTCTAGTGGTAGCTAACTACATTAATTTAGAGTACAAATTTCACAAGGAGGAATGCAAGGAATCTTGATGTATATATGAAAAGGAAAAAAAAAGTGATTGTTGAGTATGGATGTCTTCCTCCTTCACCTTCCTTCTTTTTTTCTCTTTTTTCTCTTTTTTCTCTTTTTTCTCTTTTTTCTCTTTTTTCTCTTTTTTCTCTTTTTTCTCTTTTCTCTCTTTTCTCTCTTTTCTCTCTTTTCTCTCTTTTCTCTCTTTTCTCTCTTTTCTCTCTTTTCTCTCTTTTCTCTCTTTTCTCT